ATTTGTTTTTTGAGTTGGTGGAATTAACTTCTATTTAAAAGTTCAGAAATATCTTGATAACAAGCAAAGTTGTTAGAATAGAAATTAAATGTACTTGCCTTAATGATGAACAATTGTTGCTAACAAAAGTCAAATTATTCATCTATTGATAATTAATTTGATACAAATTTTACAAATTTTCTGTGTCGTGTATATGGGTGCAGAGAGAAGGGGGAAAGACTGGCCTACTTGATTTGTTCTATTCTTAGAGGTAAAATATAAAGATGATTCAATCAAAATACCTAGAGAGATATCTTTGTAAGGAGAAATTTGAATTAACCAAAAAGGTAGACGGATTGCATTTTGATATTCGTGTAAAGAAGTATGATGGAACATTTAAGGGATTTATTTGAATTTTTTTAAACCCGGATTTGCATTAAATTTTTTTACATGCTTCTTTTTCTTTACGTTGATTTTGCACTGCTTATGTGTTACAATGAAACCAATATGTTTGATACTGGATTACTAAATTTCAAGGCCTAAATATTTGATGCTAATAAATTTTATGGCACTCAAAATGATTTAACCCTTATTAACGATGACATCTTGCTTGTTGATGCATTAAACATAACTGTATATTTTTTGTTAGCCTTGAATAGATTTATGTAAATTGTGGACAGTATAGGCCAATTCACTTCATTAAAACAACTATTTATTTTCCCTTCATAGGATATTTGAATCAGGTCATTGATATTCATTTTAAGTTATATTAAGGAACTTATTTCTGTCAGATTTGCTCATTCATGGTATCAGTAGGCAACTTTCTGCACCGATTTACGAGTTTGCAAATGCTTTTGGGATTTCCTATTATAATTTCTTTTCGGGATATTTTTCTTAATAGTAATATGGCTTAATTTTTTGAATGTCTTGAAACTTTGGGACATTATTTTCTTTTGTTTGGCTCATTTTTTCTTTTAGATGTACACAATCGGCCAGTACCACCGCCCACTACCTATTCAATTATGGCTGCCCGATGTGTTGGAAGTTATTCGATGGGTACCGTTGCAGCAATCGACCGCATTAGCTCTAACTGTGGTAGGTACTCCGATCATCATCATCAACAACATTATCTTCAAAATATGATCGAAAATGTTTCAATTTGGGCTAATAATAGATTAAATGGGAGATAGGGGAGAAATAGGAAAAAATTGATAATAATGGTGATGTAATTGCATCGTCCTATTGGGAAGCATTGTCTTTCTGTCGATACTACTACTATAGATGATAATGAAGTTGAACGCACTCTGTTGACATCCACCATAAGTCTACAATCCGAACAAGGAACCAGTGATTATCCGTATATGACGATAGCCGATTGTAAATCAACATTTTTCGGAATTGGGCCTCAGCATATCACTGTTGCAACAGTCGCTGACGACGAACTGATATCCAAAAACGAGAAATTGATCTTGCGGCCATCAAATAGTCAAATTGCCATTGCATTTGCGAATGAACATCAATCGCTGCCGAATCATCTGAGAAATACTCAGGTTTCGACAGATTTGGATTTGGAATTGTGCGATTCGGAAAATTTCGATTTTTAAAAGGACTGCTAATCTTAACTTGGTCATTGTCACATAAATCCACAGCAATCATTTCCTTCATCTTTGTTCTTTCTCTCATTCTTACCTTTTGCAATTTTAACTTCTGAGTGCAAAAATAACAGATGTGCACGAAGTAAAAGGATAGGATTATATGTGTGACTTATTAGTTTAATTCTAACAAAGTAACTGCTTATTGTTTTAACTGCGTTAAATCTACTGATTATTGGAAGAAGTATATTTTATTCTCTTTAAAATTAAGTTTAGTTTTTTTTTTTTAACTGGAGGAATAAATTTTCATAAAAATTGCTAAATGGTGAAATATCAGTTCTTTCCCCTCGCTTTGGTTATTTCCTCATCAGTTGATGTGAACACAGAAATATGTACAGCCAGCTTATTTGACACTGTTTAATTACAGTTGATTTTTTGACTATATTTGGTTTTTTTGATTGCGGAATTCAAATTTTTGTTTGTTTATCAATGATTGCTGTGTGACAATCGATTGTCACTTCTATTAATTATGCAACATTCACTCGCTCAAATAAATTGTATTGTACTATTCGCTTTACTGACGTTTGTCTCTGCTTTAATTCCTGTTTCTTGGTTTTATTCTCCCTTCAAATCCATTTAAGAATAGCTTGACCTCAGCGAATAAAGCTTTCCAAATTTTAAAATGTATTTCTAATTGCATTTTCAAGTATTCCACAATCAATTTTTTATTGACCAATTACATCTCTGATTTGCTACCTGTATAAACAATTGAATTTTAACAGAAGCATTTTTTGTATGTTTTGTTTTTTATACTCATTCTGTGCTAACTGCAGTTAGTGGTGCAATATTTTAAACTAAATATATGCTATATTAATTTTAACATTTTCATTGTATAATGAAATAGAGTAGTGGTATAATGAAATCATGTCATCACTTTACTTCATTTACGACTTATAGAAAGATATTCATTCAAATGCTATAGACGGTCTCAAAACTGTAAAATTTATGGTTAGTTTAGTTGAATTTTTATCCAAAAATTCCATTTAAGCGTATGTACAAACTCATTTTTTGCTGTCCTCATGCAATATATCAATTCAAGAGTTGTAAATAACTGTGTAGTCGGTACATTTAAATTGCACAAAGAATTGATGAATTTATTATAACTTGTAAACTTTTTAATACTTATGAAATTAACGGCACTGTTTTAATTTAAATAAGACACATAACCTCATATTTTTTATTTTAGAAATTTCCTATTTGAATCCTTCTAATTTTAAATCACTCAATAATTTAGGATACACTTAAGCTGATCAAATTTTTGTTTTATCAATTTATTGTTTGGATTACATTCCAGAAGAGTTAGTGATTCTTTTGTATTACATTGTGCAGGATCATAAGTTGCAGGTGTTCGATATGATCAATTTTGCATATCCATTTCCGCCTTTTTTCAGTTTAATCATAAATTTTCTATTCATTTCAGATCGTCCCTTTTATTGTTTATTGTCCTTCAACAAGATGTTGTTCTAATCTTCTCTCCATTTGTAAAATTATCTCTTCATTTCTTTTAGCTACATCGAAGTTTTCTGTTTATGGCTGTAAAGATTTATAACTTCGATTATCCCATAATTTTCTGACAAATATTTTCTGTATTTTGATATTTACACAAATTCAAAATTTTTATTTATGATTTTTAATTTTATTTCAATCATAACATATTATCCCGTCAATTTACTTGACACAGAATACTGCTGAAAAAAATGATTATTCTTAACTCGAAAGAAAATAATCAATAAAATATATCACATAACACAGTTGTTGAATTTCTATTTATTTATCTGTTAATTCACTAATCGAATATTAATCTCTTTATTGTGTGCAAAGTTTAATTTTGGAAATGTGTGTAGTGTGACTTATTTGATATGAATTGAAGTTATTAGCTTATTGCTTCCCGTATCCCTTCTTTTTTCTATGTCCGTGTCAATTATCATAAATAGAGCACGAGAGCTTTAAGCTTAATTAATAAGTGAAAATCAGTTTTTCTTCTCTTGCTGTTAATGAAGATGATTTATTCGCATCACTATATTCCTTTCTGTCCACTTAAGTGAAATAACTAATGAGTGAAAAATAACATTCCTTTCGTTTTTTATTTAGGTAAATAAATTCGTGACAGCCAATTGGTAGAAAATAGTGAGAGATTTGTAGAATTGTAATGTGATTAGATAAAGAATACTTGCTTGGAGCTACTATATTTATGGCTAGATATTGGATCTGCCAGAATATCAGGACACAAGCAGGGCCAAAAGACGAGAGGGGACAGATAGTGAGAAGGAAAAGAGACATTGATTAGTCGATTAACATCTATTTCGTTGAAAAGAATCTTATTACTGGACGAAAACATTACTTTTTACGTAGTGTGGAAAATTTATTTATGTAGTGTGAGATTATACACTTTGATGACATATGAAATGTTAATTATTAATTAATTTGAACAGGAATTTTAATCTATAATTTATTATTCCTTCTCATCATAGCAGGAATCTTGGTAGATATTAATTATGCTGCTTTTTTAGAAAAAAAAATTGAAGCTTAAAGAATAAACTGCAATCCCTCTTTTCGACAAAGTATTTTGATACAGATAACAATGTTTTAAAATAATGCAAATTCGTTTATGCTAATAATCTTTCATTTAATAGTTCTGCCGGGATCATACAGTCAATCTGATGTGGTAGTTGTGACTGCTGATGCTACTGATGATAGAAGTACAGTGGACAGAAATTATCGGCGCTGCTCGCGGCGACAAGCGGAATCATCAAGCAATCATGGACTGGTATATAAACGATTAAGCAGCTCAGCTGCGGAGGTATATTTCGTTTTGTCTGTCAATTAAATTTTAAAGAAATTTGCAAAAAGAAAATGATGCAAATTCTCTTTCATAGTTCTCCATAAATTAATAGTGTGAAATTAGTATTTGTATGCTTCAAATTTGATTTTTTTAATCCTTTGATTTGATTTCCAGTAAATTTTTTTCCAGTAGAAATTTTGGATTTTGATGATGAACCATATTTGCTCTTATTTTTTTCAATAATCACACTCTGATTCCTTCTAAATGTTTTCTTACCCTCATTTCGTTATTATTTCTCTTTAAGAGAAATTTGTTTGTTCTTCGATATTATTTTATGCTAATTTAAGGTGCAACTTCCTCACAGTAATGACGATGAAAAGTATTCTTTGAATGCATTTCATGGTAGTGGAATTTTGGAAAGTACTCATTCACTTACCTATCTTGAATGGGTACATGAAAGACAAACAAGACGTATGCGTACCCGGTCTGAATGGTTGGTATATACTTTACATAATTCTTGAACATTTATTAATTATTTAAACATTAAACTAGAAATCTGTCATAAAATTTCATAGAATATGTGCTGATATCCATTAAAAAATTCTCATTAAAAGTATTACTATGGGCATAACCGCTGAAATATAGCCTTCTTCCAATTTTATATATTGGAGTTTTGACAAAGCTTTATTGCTATATTTCCATGAAAGTGAAATTAATTGCTTCATTTTCAGGTTTCTTTTACCTGCGTCGTCAGCAAAAGAGAGTGGTACATCACAGCTAAATGCTTCCGCATTTTCTTCTACTAGCATGCTTCAACCGTATTCGCAGTTTGATGACTCAACAATGGGTTCATTCGATGGATGCATGGGAAATCCTGATACTACCGATGAATACCTTGTAAATGTTATTCAAAAATTGCCTTTATCATGAAAAATATGTTAAATGAATTTGACTTTGTAGTTATTGAGTTTAGAAAAAAATTGACTTTAATTGTTTCTCTTTAGTTCTTACGAAATTTCCAGTTATTAATACCAAATATTCAAAAACATAGCCTATCAAAAAATTTTATACTTTTATAGAAAACATGCGAAGAAGCAATCACTCCATCTTTAGTTAACATATCTGGACAGCTTCCTCTAGCATCACAATCAGTAACGTCCCCAACATCTCGAATAGCTGGCGGTATCGTTCGTCGACGTTCTTGGCGTACTCATTACGTGCGTCCTAATCGAATTTTTGAGGGTACTAACAAAGAGCGAGTATGTTTTATGAATCTTCCATTTAATCTTTTGCAATGAGCATAGCTAATCACTTCACAATAATTCTCTCTTCACCTTTTAATCTTGATCAAAATCATAAAGCGGAAGAAGTGCTCTTTTATAGACATGATACTTATTGTGTTTCTTTCGCATTTACATATCAAAAAATGTACGACCGTTTCAGTAGACGTCTGCAATCAAATTTCTTATTCTTTTTTCACTTTTGTACAAATTTTCTTTCTTTCAGCTCCTTATCAATCCTCTCTATCAGTTTCAGGATTCTAGTGATGTTGCTGTTGTTTCAAGTAGATCAGCACCGCTATATCGTCGTAATGTACCGCATACATCTAATCGAAACTTGCCAAGTACAGGGCAGCCTATAATGCTACCATCATCCTTGATAGAATTTCAGCAACAACGACAGCAATTAAGAGCACCATCACCGGAATGTGTAAAAGGTTATTCCATTATTGGTAGTGGTAGCAATACTTCTCATGGGAGGGGATCAAAAACTATTTCGCAGTCCAAAAATGTGCACTTCTAGGCGTTATGAGAATTCCGTACCCGATTTTCATATCATATTGAATAGTTCGTAAAATATTCCTTTTTTTCTGGAAATTTTATTAACTCAATTCATTTGAAAGAAAAAAATGTTTTAAGAGCGAACTTTTCTTTCCAATCTTTACCTCTTTATCTCTTTAACTAAAAGGTGAATGATCGATGGTCTTGGAAGATCCCATTGATTTTCATGGAAAAAAAATTAAACATTTCTTCCATTTTTCTTCACTTTAAATATTGCAGTACATTTCACGCGATTTAATTATTACTATTACTATTACTGCCATTGAATTTGTTTACTCTTTTAAATTTGATTAATTATATCTGTTCGTTCTGTATGAGTCGTTCTTTGTAGAAATTTTTATTAAAAAAAGATAGTACCGCAAAAAAGAATTTCCATACATGAGTCATTTTGAAATTGTTTCTATTTGGAAAATGCCATCAAGATTGTTAAAAATTAAAAAATATTTTGAAATTAGTCGTTTTCTTTTGTAAAGTAAGATAAATTTTCATATATATGGAACGTTTTACGAAAAGAAGGGAATGGCTTTCGGCAATTTTTTTCATTGTTCTTGGCATACCTCATATGTTGTCCCTTTGCTTCTGCCTTCTCCATTTTCTTTTTTCCTTGATTTTTTCTTGACTTTAAAAAAAAAAAACTCGATGTTGCAAAATTCTGGAAAAGCGATTGCTTATATCACTCAGCCAATAAATAGTATTTTGACATTTTTGGATCCATCCGAATGGCATTTTTGTTTTCACGAGAAAGTAATACCATTGTTTGATATTTCTGTCCTCTTTTGAGTTGATAATCTCATCTGCAGACTATTTAAAATGACAAATGTATTTTCTTAGAAAAACGAGAAATAAGCATAAATGGAAATATAATGTGAAATTCTTTTGTCTTTTCGAATCTGGTTAATTATTATTTTTATAACATTCCATCAGTTTACGTTGCTCATATTCTCGATTTTTTCGAATTCTTTTTATTGTGCCACTGTTTGATGCTTTCTTGAACAATACTTTTTCCTGTCTTTGTCTTTCTGAATCAACTGAAATTTTGGATAAATCAATAATGCTTCAAATTAAAATTTGAACATTAGCCATGTTGTAGCTTTCATATTAGCATAAACGCAGAGAGAGACTTATTTGATGATAAACATGTAAATTTAATATGATTCCGTTTCACTTTTATTTCTCATTTCATTAGTTGTGATTTAAATCCAGCCAGGAATTAAAATTTTGGACCATTTAGCTCGTAAATATCATTATTGCTCTCTTTTGAAACGAAAATGTCGTCTGACATGGCCTATTTTATTTTTAAGGCTCATTTGCCCCTTCCTTTTCCACGGCAAACGGTGAATTCCTATTTGAGATAAGAGAATTTATTTTTAGATCCGTAAACAATGTGATATGTCTTATGCTGTACTATAATTTTATAAATTGTTTTAAATTGATATAAGCTTTCATAGGAATAAATTATTGAATTCTTATTTGATACATAACAGCTTTTTTTTCAAAGATTTCGTTCTAGTTGAGCAGTAAAAAAGTAGGCCAGATGGAGAATCTCGTCGTTAGCTCAAAATTTTTTTGAGATTCGCAAATCCATATATATACTTCAACTGTAACAAATAATTATTTACGAGCCAGTCTCGTTTTTGGTAAGACATAGTTTTAATTTTTGATCTCATTAATTGAGAGTAGAAAACTAAATGTTTTCTGTTCGTTGGGGAGATCAAGGATTAATCTTTTTTTTCGGGAAAAGTCAGAAAAGAATATGGTGTGTAAAGGCTAGTGAAACGGGGTACAAATACGATGCAATCTATTTCGGATGCTGAAACTGCGACTCTTTCCAAACTTTGGATATTTTCTAGAAAGTTAACAAAGCTTTACAATAAATTTAATTAAAGTTCAATCAAATTCATTCATTTTGAGGAATAATAAGATTTTCTAGCATGATATGTGTTCGCTTAAATTGATAAATTTATTCATTGATACTCATTGACAAATTTAACAAATAAAATCTAATTGATGAAAATTTCATAAAAGGGCACATAAATGTTTATAAGTAATGAATAAATCAATTTAAATTCTATATGGTTAACAGTTTCAAACTTCATTGTTCACTTAAAATTAAGTCAAAAAAAAAACATAAAATATTTTGAGCAAATTGCTTATATTCAAGTCGAATTAGAATGAATGAAAAACGAAACGATCAAATGATTGATATTGTTGTGAAAGCATTGTAGATTGGTTGGTGTTATTTGTTAAGATTTATTTTGTGGTTCGGAATTTTATCCAAATAATTTTAGCATCAATAGATGAAATGAATAGCAGATTATATGACGATAATTGCTAGCAGGGGCGAATAATCGTATGAATGTTGAAAAATGTGAAAGGGGGCAAAAGGAGAGTCTCGATCCGACTATTCGACTGTTTATATATCCAGTATTGGACGGTATCGTGATAAGCGGTAATGAGCTTGATAAGTGACCGCAAGGTCAGATATTGTCATTTTGGGAAGAAAGAAGCATTAATGAAAGAAAGGATTTTATGATTACTTGTTAGTTACATTGGTTTTACTTACGAAGAAGTATGGACCGAGAAGATCTTAAGCATTTAATTACAGTCCTCGACAATTAATTGTAAAATGCATTTGATGAAGAGCTGTAATTCGGCTGAACTTTCGGCGTCATATTTTCAAACAGTAAGGATGTGACAGAGGTTAGTGTATAAACTAATATATAATATTTTTTTGTTCAATGTTTTGAGAGCAATTTATATAAATTTATTTCATGCACAAAAATGTTAATAAATCGATCAATCATTGAAGGAAAAATTTCCAAAAATTCAAATATTAGTGATTCATTTCTGTCATTTTAATATTCACAAACTATTAAAGCAGTAAAATACATAGACAGAAGCTTAATCATACAATAAAAAGAATGCTAAATATAAAATGGATAATTTAAAAGTGTGGAATAACAAGAATAGCAACGGATGAAAAAGAGATGATGAAAATTAAGCATGAATAATTAAATTACAAGAATTCAATTAATGAAATGGAGAAACGATTCATCACGATACACATATGTCAATTAACATGCCTTCAACTGTTTCCAAAAAAGAAAAAAAATCACAAGCATGAAATTTTCACTTCATGTATGATTCAAAGTGAATTATCATAGAAAATTTTGGATGGTTATTTAGTTGAAATGGAATTTTTTATTTGTCATAAATTTACATATGCTTTTTCAAATTTTATCTTTGGGGCAAATTTTTCTTCCCAGTCAAATAATTTTATGCATTTTCAGAGATATGATTCCTCATATGATGTGCTAATTTCATTACTGAAGGGAAATTTCTCGTACATATCGGACAATCGTACGACAGCTGTGGAGGAGAATTCATCAGATGATATGCATAATTCTTCATGCTAACCATACTTTGCTTGGGGCTTTTGTATAGCTTTTTAATAATCTTATTCCTCATATGATGTATCAAATATGATGCGTAACGGAGATTTTCCCTGTATTTCAAACTATTGTGCAGCATATTTTTATGAATGCTTGCTCATCCTAAGAAATCATACCGCCTAATTTTTGATAATTTGCTTAGAAATGAAATTTTTTCCACGTTCATTTCTGAATATATTAGCACTGAAAAGGAAACAGTCACGCATTCATTGCTAGTACAATAAGGACATTTTTCATTCAAACAATGACTATAACAATTTTTATTCCACCGGAAATCATCTGCAGGCATTCCAAAGCTTTTATTAAATGATAATTCTGATTTCAAAAAAAAAAAAAAGTGCATATATATGTTTATTGTAAAGCGCTGAAATCTTTTAAATAACGGAAAAAATTCTATAACGATGCTGATATTCTTTGTCGAAATGAATGAAATGATAATTGTTGGATGAAATTTGATCTCTCTTTTTGGAGAGATCAAGAATTCTCAAAACTACTAAAATCACTTAACTCTTCAAATCTCATTGAAAAATTTTAAATTTGATTGACTGAATCATTTGAACAGTGAATAGGATATGGTGGAAAGAAATGGTACAAACTTGAAGGATGTTTGAGATTATAAAATTAAAATTAATGTAGTTTGAATTACATATTATTTTAGAATTAATTCCACATTTATTTCTGATTTTTTTCTTATTGCTCAGCAATTCATAAATTCATTATATTTACTCAGTTCATTACATTTATTCAATTACTTATATTTACTCAATTCATTATATTTATTCATCTTTAAGCCATCCACGTGCACGACGAATTCCTTTTTTCCATCGACGAATCATCAGTTGGCGCTCATTGTCACTTATTTTTGGTGTTTGAATAATAATTTCATCTTCTACGTGATATTTTCTAATATCTTCAAAACTAAAAATTACATGTAAATGTTAAGAATGAATTCTTGAACATTAGAATAATTTACATTGTATACGTGCTTATTTATTATCCTATCCAAATGTCTCATTTATTGCAATGGGATTTTACAGCAAAATTCATAGCTTAGAATATTTCCTAAATAGCAATTGGTATTGCTTATATATTAGCAGTTATAAATAATTGAATTCTTTGAACTTCTATATAATGATACGAAGAAAAAATTTCAATTTCACCTAAATTATTATCATTTTTTGCATTCAATCTATACTAAATAAACAAACCTGATAATTTGAGCGCCAATAGCTGCTACCATTGCAGCACCCCATGAAGAAGCTTCAGTGTTGGATGATTTAACTACATCTATTCCAAGAATATCACTTAATAGTTGCAAGAAAAATGAATTCACCGTCATACCGCCGTCAACCTGAAAAATTACAAAAATTCAATTTCATTTGAAAAAAAAAATATTCCGACTTTTTCTTCGGCAAAACAATTTCAACTTAGAAATTTTGTAAAAAAAAAAAACAATACGAAACCTTGAGAGCTTTGATCTTCTGATTGTGTGACATATCAGTGCAAATGGCCTCAATCATTTCTTGGGTCTGAAAGCAAACAGCTTCAAGAACAGCTCGAATGACGTGTTCTTTCTTGGTAGTTTGGACAAGTCCGCACAAAACACCACGTGCTGTTGAATCCCAATATGGCGTATAAAGACCAGTAAAACAGGGTACAAATACAATGCCATCTGTTCCGGATACTGAAACTGCCGCTTTTTCCACTTCTGATGCATTCTAGAAAATTTCAAAGCAAAGCTTTTCA